CTTGCTCTATCATTAGTCCAATTCACAGCTGACGCAGAGGCACTTGAACCTACCTCATTAGCTGAAGCAAAGCGGTGCCCTGACTGGGCACAATGGGAAGGAGGCATTCTTGAGGAATTGGCAACTCTGCAGACAGCCGGCACATCGGAACTTGCCGATCTTCCTGCAAGAGCGAACTTGGTAGGATCAAAGTGGGTTTTCCGTGCCAAAAAAGATGCCACTGGAAATATAGTCCGTCACAAAGCAAGACTCATCGCGCAAGGATACTCACAAGTCCCCGGTGTCGATTATTTTGACACCTATGCCCCAGTAGCCAACCTCTCTTCCATCTGAATGACTCTTGCACTCGCCGCTCGATTAGACCTAGAACTCCATCAAATTGATATCAAGGGTGCGTATTTGAATGGAGAACTTACCGGAGATGAAGTTATTTACATGCGTCAACCGCCCGGATTCGAGTCGAAGGAACATCCGACCAAGGTCTGCTGACTGTGGAAGACGTTATATGGATTAAAGCAGAGTGGGAGGAGATGGTATCAGAAGCTGGTAGAAATATTAGTGGACAAGATTGGACTTACCCAATGCGACGTCGACCAAGCTGTGTTTTTCTCACGCTCTGCATCCGACGAACTCACCGTCATTGTAGTCCATGTTGACGACTGTACCCTCGCAGCCTCTTCGATGGACCTCATCAAGCAATTAAAAGACAAGATACACACCTACGTTGAAGTCACCGACCTAGGAGAGTTGCACTGGTTGCTAGGAATCGAAGTCACCCGCAATCGCGACTGTCGCACACTCTCTCTATCACAGAAAGCATACCTAGACTCCATCATACGCCATTTCAACTTCGAAGAGCTAAAGCCAGTTTCAAACCCTATGGAACCCAGTATGAAGCTCCATTCCAGACAGTCACCATCCACCGGCGCAGAACACGCCGCCATGCACCACATTCCCTATCGCGAAGCTGTTGGCTCGCTCATGTACGCCTCTCTCAGTACTCGTCCCGACATTTCCTATGCTGTGACTACCATATCTCATTTCTCAAGCAACCCAGGACAAGCTCATTGGGACACTGTGCGTCGGATCTACCAATACCTTCTGGGTATGACCGCTCTGAAGTTAACTTACGGGGAGTTGAGAATGTGTTGACGGGGTACGCAGTCGCTGATGGAAGTATGGGAGAGGACAGGAGAGCCATTTCGGGGTACGCATTCTTAATTGATGGAGGCGCTGTTTCGTGGTCGTCTAAACGTCAGGACATCATTGCCCTCTCTACTACCGAGAGTGAATATGTGGCTGCAATGCATGCGGCAAAAGAGGCACTGTGGCTCCGCTCATTCATCGGCCAGATTTTCGCACCATTCACAGAGCCCATCACACTTTTCTCCAACAATCAGTCAGCAATCGCACTCACAAAAGATCACCAGTACCATGCCAGGACCAAACACATCGATATCCGTTTCCACTTCATCCGCTGGATCATCGAAAACGGGAAGCTTCACCTCATTTACTGTCCTACTGCAGACATGGTTGCCGATACTTTGACCAAGGTGTTACCATCACCCAAAGTCAAGCACTTTGCCATCGAACTTGGACTGCGTTCACCTTGAGGGGGAGTGTTGGAATAACAAGCGCGCCCACAGCCGAGCGCATCATCATATGATCTTGTTGGTTTTCATTATTGTCCAGTGACACGTATGCTTCTTTGTGCGCTCTTATGATATATGTTTCACTGATTGTACTTACTGAATCTTTTGATTGCTTTGGCCAGTGCCGTTTTACTTATTGTTATGGTTTCATACACTTATTCGACCTTACAAGATCACTCAATCTATTTAACTACTGATTGATGCGAGTTGTTACCTCAGATGTTTGCCTTCGTGCGCACGATCTGAGGCAAGATACCTAGTTCTCACTTTCATTCACCTATGCTTACTTTCCATAGAGAGTCTGTTTAATCTAGGTGAATACTACAGATGTTTGCCTTCGCGTGCACAATCTGAGAGAGTCTGTTTAATCTAGACCCGCATGATTGTATTAACCTTTTAGTAGGTTAGTTAGCGTAAGTACTCCTTAGACTTAACCTCTTCATTTCTACACTTGTAGTAGACTTAGACGTTCACACTCAATCCTATCCTTGTTCATTATCATCACTCTTGACCGAGTCCTAGTGGTTGTGTGTTAGTCTTTGCCATTTGGTGAACGCTAGTCATAACACAGTAATAGCCAATTAGTAATTGTGCTAAATATCTGCTGCTTTACTAGCGAGTTTTTCTGATGGTACTTGTCGATCCACTTATCAAGTTCATCATAGTCTGCCTGTGTAGGTGTTGTCCCATCTGGCTTCATGATAGCCTTCGTTTTCGGGTCAACCGCGTAGAGTTTCGGCTCACTTGCTCGACCGTCAGTATACCGCATCAGACCTCTAGCACCAATAGCTGTTAACGTCCATTCCTTATAGGTTATCCAGTTTGAGCCATCTTTGGCAAGCTTTGGGATGTTAAGCAGGGTTGTGTTAGAGCTGGGGAGCGAAGTATCCATGGTTGAGACAGGGCTCATAACCTGTGGTGAGTAATATATTGCAGGCCTTCAGGGACATTCTAATAAACAAGTATAATCTCAGTCTCTTGAAAGAAGCTCGTCTAACAAGCTAAGTATCTAATAAACAAGTATACTAGGGACTCATTAGTTGCATCCTAATCAATACGTAGATACTAGAGACTATTAACTCACATCTCAGTCTCTTGAAAGAAGCTGAGATGTGCTCGTGCTACTGCTGGTGTTCTTATAGTAAACTGGATAGTAACGAAAAATATATCAAACAAATAGGTAGGTTATTGCAGGACACGAGCCGACATCAACATGTCACTCAGCAATGTCTGTTTTGGCTTGGGCATGGACCACCTGTCACTCTCCCTCCTCAACCATTTCAGATCTGTCAGTTTTCTTTGTCTCTGATCATTTGGATCGTTCGGATTCCAACATGAATGCCAGTCCTATACTGTATGTATTTCACAGAACATGTGGTAACAGCAACATAGCTCCGGCAAAGTCCGTTGCATGGGTGGAGCATCTTGTTTGGCCAAGAGATTTTTGATTTTGGGCGCTGCAAATATGCCCTATTCAGTAAGCGCAGCTCTGACTGCATTGGGAACATATGTAAGTATGTATGATGGTTGTTATGTCCTTCTGGAACCTGTACAAAGTAAAGACCACTGTAAGGCAGCAGTCATGAATGTTAACATTTGAAGTTTGAAGGCATGCACCTGTTCAGGCTCCTTCCCAGCCTCCGGTTCAAGTGCAGAGGGCGACATCTGAGGGACATAGATACTTGTTTGATATGTCACATGATACAAGAAAAAATTCAAACCCAGCACAACCTTATTCCCCTCACACTCTCACCGGAGGCTGGAACATAACATTTGTAAACAGAGGTCAGCCACAGTGATGGGTGACCGTAGAACTCCAGAACAACCAGTTTACACCTAGCATAGGGTTACGACTTTTTGAATTGATATATTCATTTTTCTGCCTTGGTTAATATTACACCCGCTCCCATATGGACACCGTGATTGCAGCGCTACAAGACTGCAACTTAAGTGCCTCTCAGTTCATCATATCAATTCTACAAAATCAACAATATAATGGACATCATCTTGTCAAAGACCTTCTTGTCCATTGTAATGAAATCTTCGATGCTTTCACTGAACATCCTTCTCGTCAAGCTGACATATCGCAATATGCCAACCGAGCTACAAGAGAGCAATACATCAGAGAGATTAAATTAATCTCATTGGAAGAAGGGGGTTGGCACTTCAGGACCATCACACACAACTACACAACAGGTAGAGGACTTTAGCGTCGAGGAGATGGGCAGAGAAATGCAGTCTTGTGCACCCGCGCTGTGGGATTTACTTGGGTGTCTACTCAGGAGCTGATGATTCACCTTCATGCGAGGCAAAGGACACTGATGGTGATGTTCTCATGGGAAATATGCTTGGGAACAGTTCTGGGATAGTACACGAGGAAGATGACAGCTAGTGGGATGATTTAGATGAGATAGATCTCAAGGGTTTTATCAATGGGCTCACGTCATGCACTATGCCAGATGATAGTAATAAGCAAACCTTGCGGCACGCTGCAATCATTACAATCATAAGCATCGCCCCTATCTTTTCCCCATCCCAGTCCCTGCAATACACAGTACATCCTGGTTGCCTTGGAGAAGCAGCGTGCAGCCACTTTGAGCTGCCACAGACATGGGCAAACACCTGAATTTTTGCTCTGTCTGCAGACAGATTTCAGATAATGAGGGCGTCTCATGGAGATTAGGAGCTGTCATCTCCCATATGGGAGTGGGTCCCCGACTCTACGAAGTAGGGAGGGTTCTGTCAGCTCCAAACTGGCCAGGCACCTGTATGCAAATGTGCGCGTGAACTTATTTCCTAATTCACGACCTCACAACAGACAACTATTTTCATGTGCGCGTGAAAAGTGAAACTTTTTCTGAAAATGGGCCAGAAGCCTAGATTTGCTCACCCAGGACAAGGAATCTGAGACATGATAGCAAGGAGACCATAGTGTGCAAGGATGAAGGAATATGGCAAAGGGAGAATCGAAAACCAGCGCCCTTCATAATTACAATTCAGTGTCGGCCGAGTCGGGGATTGGCGCTCGTGCCGCTACGATGTAATATTAACCGAGGCAGAAAAATGAATATATCAATTCAAAAAGTCGTAACCCTACGCTAGGTGTAAACTGGTTGTTCTGGAGTTCTACGGTCACCCATCACTGTGGCTGACCTCTGTTTACAAATGTTATGTTCCAGCCTCCGGTGAGAGTGTGAGGGGAATAAGGTTGTGCTGGGTTTGAATTTTTTCTTGTATCATGTGACATATCAAACAAGTATCTATGTCCCTCAGATGTCGCCCTCTACACTCGAACCGGAGGCTGGGAAGGAGCCTGGCACCTGTTCGTCCCTGCCCATCCGGGAGATAGAGTTCATAGTACCCTGTTATCACTTGGACCCTTTTGGGCCTTCCTCGGTTCCTTCAATCCCTGAGGAAATAAGGTACGAACACGGAGCCTTACGGATATCACAAAAGACCTCGACAACCGCAATAATCAATATGTAGCTCCCAATGCTGACTTTGACTTTTTAGATCAGTAATGTGCTTTTTCCTCGCGAGCTTGGTCCTAATGTACCTACCCACTCATTGGAATCTAGAGCATTCCTTATTCTTGTGTGAGTTATCATCCCACACCGCCGGTGAGGTTTTATTAGCTGCTCGTCTTCCTTATTTTTTAACTTCGGAATACTTAGGCGCTGGTATTCTCGTTCCAGTCAACTTAACCCTCCGCTCGACACCTTTACAGCCATGAGTAGGCTTCACCCCCCACCTCCCCTTAAGCTGCCTTTTCTATCCTAGTTGTCTTTCCACCACACTTGTGTTGTTGCCAACGTTGCACTCGGTCTTTGGACGATTTTGTTTGTATGCATTGCATTAGCTTTTCTACTCAGTGCAGACCATGTTTATTTTATATATGTATTGCAATAAATCCAGTGAACACTTATCCAAACAACCCTTGTGCTTTCTTGAAGACACCGACATACAAGGCCTCCGAGGCTTAGAGTTGCGGCCTGGCGCGGATACTTCCAGTAAGCTCAATTTCTTTGCGAACAATACCCAAACACTCATGCATTATAGCCACACCCAATGGACACACTAGCCATGCTTCGAGCAACACTCCCCATTCAGCACCACAGCATTGGTGCATTCTCAGTGAGCCGCCGTTGGTTCCATATGTTCAACTTTGAAATATGCGCTACCCAAACCTCAATCAACTCAGCCTACAACAAGACACTCTGACCCATTTTACAGCCACAAGCAGGCTTCACAGTTGTGTGCTCGCGTTATCGCATATCTCTTTGCTTGTCCCGTTTTACAGCCATGAGTAGGCTTCGCGTTTTTAAGGAATCAACTTGATGTATTCATCAATGTCACTACTATCTTTGGCCCAGAGTTGCAAAACGGCCCAGAGTTGCAAAATGCGATGTAGCACACTCATCTTTCGCTCATTTTCTTTGCACAATGATTCTGAAGGATGACCAATGCATAGCTCACTGTCTGTATTTTTTATTTCACAAAAAATGGACGAGAAGTGCTTGCGGGAGTAAAACACTGCTCAGAAAGTGTACTTTCCACACCAATCCATCACAGGGAAGCCATCACATCGACCAAAAAAAATCAGGAATTTTACGCATGATTCCTCATTACCTTCTAACACTGCTCTAATTTTTTCCGACACAAAAACCGAGCTGTGTTGTGTGACACAAATGTTGTACTGTCGAGACACAGGGCGTGACAGGAGGAGTGATTTGGTGGTCGGAGTCATCAAGCTCCGCTCGGCATCCAACGCCCTACTTCATTTGATCAACACTTGACGGCGTTGGAGAGTAAAAACGGCAGTGTGACACAGTGTGACATGATCAATTCTATGCAGGTGAGAAATTTTGCAACTCTGTGCTCAAACACCATTCATGCCGGCTTCTCTCTGGCAACGTACAGTTGCAGACAGGCAAAGTCAGCAAATTTGGACGATGTCAAAGACTGATTTTTCCTGGTGCCACAAATAACCGGAAATCCCATTTTTGGTGCAGAATATGTTTATTGAGGACCAAGTGCAATGCATTTGCACGAGCAGATTGTCCAAAAACCCTCATTTGAGGATTCTTTAGGGCAAATATTTGGCGGTACCATAAATAAATCGCTAAAATCTCGAAAAATATGGCAATCGCTTCCTTTCGATGTCCTGTGCGTGATTCCATTGAAATATTACAAAAATATCGAGCCGTTCTAGTGTTAAAAAATTGGTAAGTGTTGAGGTAATTATCCCTGGAATGGTCCCTCAAATACTCCCGAACTTCTGTCATTTGAACCGCGAATGGGCGAAATCATACCCAATAAAGTCTACATAGCTAAATTAGAATGATTTTTTGATCTTGGTGATATAGGGCCCCCAAAATGGTGTCTCAGACACCCAAAAGGGGTACACAATGTCTTTCAAACTGTCCAAAAATTTGGCGGGCCAAAAACCTCGTGGGAAAAACTTCGGACCATTGTTTTTAGACGTATTTTCACTCCCTGAATTCAGATCTGGCCTTGGTTTGGCACCAAAAATTCACGCTGGACGGCTACCAAATTGGTGGTGTTTGGTTGTCCGCAACTGTAGCCTCAACAAAATTTGCAAATGTGTTTTACATAGCGCTGAAGCCTGGACTGAATCATACGTCCCCCTATTGTCGCCAGTTTTAAATGTTGTGTTGTTGTTGAACTGTCACGCGAACATCGAAAAGTTTTGCAACTCTGGGCCAGAGATAGTACTACATGCTAGGATACAAAATAACACAATGTCCGAAGATGATTAACCCCCACGTCAGTGACTGAACAGGAAACACCACATCAGCAACGAGAGATCATTGGTAATGAAAACAATACGAAGTTGTAGGAGAGACGTTAACGAAGGAAAGACAAAGTCACCATAAGTCACGGAGGAGCAAGCATGTGCGGAGGATATGTTGAGGCCGTTGTATACCCGCTCAATGATGGCTGCAACATTAAACTGAAGCGAACATGTAAGGTAGAGTCTGGGGTCTTTTCGTTGTGAATGCCGTGAGGGTGTTCGGACTTTGTTTGCTCAGGGTTTGATATTGTTAGAAGGAACCGAGGAAGGTCCGATAACAGGGTACTGGAAACCGCGGGAGATAGAACCATCATCAACGCCCTAACTCCATTCCGTGACATGCTTTCGTCTGATGCGTGCTTCACTGGAAGATGCTGTTATGCGAACGAAGGTGCGGAAAAAACTTAGCGGATGGCGACACGATTAGGGCGGGCATTGTGATGATGGCGGGGTAGGGAAGGAGGGGTTGGCGGTCCTCCTGATCCTTGTGTTTGGGGTGTCGCTAACATCGTGGACGGGTTTGCAAAGGGTATAAAGAGCTGTATCAGGATCATTGAAAGTATTGTACTTAGTCGCTAGTGATTACTAGGACTTGTGGTCAGTCTTCGGCATGCATCTTGCACGTGCTCTGAAATTCACAGAATCACACCTCCCTGAAACTGAAGCGCGCGCCTGTCTGCACCTTCACCTCTTCTAGATGGACCTATGAAGAGTTCATACGCGTACATATGTGATAATAACTTTATCTCCTGTACGTGTGTGCTAATCTTCTGGCATACATTTAGCGTGCGTGTGGCACGGGCTCGTAATGATAATCTATCGATGCTTATTACAACGTAAAGTGAGGCCTCTCTCAGATGTGTGTGCGACTCATCTGAAAGCGCTTTATCTTCTTTTACTCGGCATGCCAGTGGTTTCCCCTGGGTGGCCGTGATGCGCACTTACAGTGACAAAGAAGCCTCTAGACCGAGCGCCGAGGTATAAAAACAGAGGTGATCCAGATATCGTGTGCAACACGCTTCTGACATCTAGTCTACCATGGATTTACTTCGCAATAGACGCAGACAAGCACCTGCAACCGAGCAGTCTCTTAACGCTCCAGCACCTTCGATCATTCCGCCTCTTGATGAACAACCTGAAGTACCTTTGATCGTTCCGTCTCTTGATGAAATGTCTCTTCCTTCCGTTCCAAGTTCTGGTTCCGTTAGCCCTCCAGACATGGCATGGGTTGAAGTAGACATATCGTCCAGTGACTATGCCCGCAGGCGTAGAGAGCTTATGGAGATGATGGCCGACCTCCGATCCATGGGGTGGGTGCTTGTGAATCCGATTACGAGACTGCTCATGCCACCTCTTACAGTGCCGACGCGCTGATCGACATACCATCCGTAGTCGTGATTGGTGGACAATCCGGTTTGTGGTCGCCTCCCTTTGCAACCGCAGTTGTGCTCAACCTCATATTTCAGCGGGCAAAAGCTCACTCGTAGAGGCCGTTAGTGGGGTACGTCAGCAGATAATTTGTCGTTCTATCTATTTTTTTTCATTCTGTTAAAGATCAATGTCCCAAGAGATAGCGGAACGTGTACCAGGTGACCCTGCTGTCATCAGTCACTGCAAGGCGTGCTCACACTACCATACGCAGATGCCCTATGGAATGTTCGATGTCCAGTCATGCCACGTCATGGTCCTGCACTATCACCTTACGAATTTACCCTGATAATGGCCGAGACCTGGAAAAGCCTATTACTGTGTCCTTCGGCCAAACGATCACTGACAGACGTGAGGTCGAAGTTTGGCTACGTCGTGCCCAGGCAGCCATTTTGAACCCGAACATTCCTTCTTCGAGTTTCCACACAAAGACCATCGAGGAACTCAGGAACGCAAGAAATACACTGAAGTTCTCCCGCAACGTGGTGTGCGTCTCGATTGAAGACCCCGATGCCACTGACTTGTCATTCTATGATTTGCCGGGTAAGCATATGCTGATCTGGATTGAGACGACATATCTGATGGGTGTTGAAGGCTTGATACAGAACGAAGAAGCCGAAACCGTCGCCTTGGTGAAAAGTATGGCGGAACATTACACTGAGACAGAGAACACTATAATATTAACCACAATTCCCATGAGCGGTATGTGTATGAACTTCGGAATTCTTTTTCATTGAGTTCATGGGTTCGGTACCAGACGATATGGAGAATCAGCAATCGATGAGTCTTGCCAGGGCCGCAGATCCTGATGGAAAGCGAACAATTGGTAAGTCATCCATACTGCAGTGTGATTAAAGACTTAAATTTGTTCAGGTGTACTTACGAAACCTGACACGCTCGGTGTTGGAGCTATCAACCAGCGTCGCAAGTGGGTGGAAATTATCGAGGGCCGTTCGGAGGAGCACACACTAAGGCACGGTTTTTACTGCGTCCGTCTTCCTGATGATGCCGAACGCGCACAACGCCTGTCTCGTGCTGAATCGCAAAGGCGAGCTGCAGAGTATTTTGACACGACGTCGCCCTGGAGCGACATGATCGACCGTCATCGGTTCGGAATTCCGGGCTTTGTCTCCGATGTAAGCCGACTGCTCATCCAGTTGATCGAGGAAGCGTACGTGGACCTTCTTCTAGCTCGCTCGCTATAACAGTGCTTACAGCGTTTATAGTTTACCCCGCCTCAGAGAAAATATCGACAACCTCCTTGCCAAATGTATGAAGGACATCGATGCACTGCCTCTTCCACTTGCAAATGACCCACAGATTGAGGTTTTAGAACGAGTCAATGCGTTCTGTGATGTCTTCAAGAGCTTTGTGAATGGCAGTCACGAAGACAAACGTCTTGCGCAGCGGAATTGCGCTCTCTATGCCATCTTCAAGAGGGATATACGCGGCACCGCTCCTGACTTCAGGCCTTTTAATGGACCGGAAGGCTATGTTCCATTGGACGATACTGAGGGGAAGATGACTCTTACTGTGCGAGATCCTGGCGTGAAAGCGATGGGCATATATGACATCCGCAGGGTCATCCACGAGTATGTTTTCGTGTTTTGTTGTGGCAGTTCGGTGACAACTCAACCATTCATCAAGGGCAATTGGATGGGAGCTTCCGAACAACGTGCCATATCAGGCGAAGGCGAACCTCATCGCTCAATTCACCAAACTCTGGGTTGCTCCGTCTGAGCGCTGTCTCGCTGGTATCAATGATGTGATTGATCAAGTCATCAGCACGCTCATAAGCATCCATTTTGGTCGCTTCAAAGTTCTTGAGGATTATGTTAGGTGAGTGTTGACTACTCACGACTATTCCGTTGGCTCAAGTTGTCTGTGACAATAGCAATCTGATTAGAATTCAGGTTGATATCTGCAAGGCGCGCGCCCGAGAGGCTGTCAATATGGCCTTGGATCTGGAAACTACTCCATACTATACTCAGAACACGCACTATCTTCAAGCACTCCGCGAAAAATGGCTAGCTCATTATAAGACAGTTCATAGTAACCCTTTTCGGTACTACAGGGCTCCCGTTAAAGAATCTAGGGGGGGGAAGAAAAAAATTTCATCGAAATCTTACCCAGATACCAAAAAGTGTTCGGCGTCGACTCCGTTTCAGGAAAAATCTACATCGAAACCTTGCCCAGATACCAAAAAGTGTTCGGCTTCGCCTCCGTTCCAGGAAAAACCCACACCGAAACCCCACCCAGATATCAAAAAGTGTTCGGCGTCGCCTCCATTTCAGGAAAAATCTCCATCGAAATCTTACCTAGATACCGACAAGTGTTCGGCGTCGCCTCCGTTTCGGGAAAACCCAACGCTCAGTTTTGATTTCGGACGCTGCGATTCCCCGCCGCCTCCGTTTCGGGAATTTGAGGGAAAAACAAAGCCCAGTCCTGGTTTGGGATGCTGCGATTCAGAGCCACTCGAGGCCAAAGCTTTGAGGGCTCTTGCGGAAGCGGGGTACACAAATCTTACGGTACCAGATCTTGCGCGTCTGTTGCCTCCCGACTCGTTCGAGGAAGAGCTAATTGTGATGGCTGATGTTCGAGCCTATTATCACGTTGCCTACAAAGTGAGTCTCGCTCATAATCTCTGTTTCAGCTTGTTTACGACCCCGAGTAGCGCGTCATTGACCATATTCCTCTGACGATCGAGCATGCTCTCCATCATGCCCTGGCGAACCAACTTTCGCAGAGCCTTCTTACGAGTTTGCTAACTGATGTTGCATCTGGGCCCGACTTCGCTGAGTTGGTCAGCGAAGATGCTTCCATCACTCAGAGACGCACAATGCTCGCGACAAGAAAACAACGCCTACTAGACATTCGCCGAAGACTCATGACCTTCAGCAATGGTACTTGATCGCTGTGAGGGGTTACGGTGTATGTTCGTTTGCTGTTGGCGCTGGACTTTCTACGGTCACATGCTCATATAGATAGCTTGTTGGCCTTTGGGGAACCGCAGCTGGTTGTGTGTTTGGTGCTTGCTGTATTATCCTGCTATGATCGAAACTTTGTTGTATTTCAAACTCGGGAACGAAGGAATCTGATTCTTTGCTCGTTGTAGACACATTGCTGTCCAAAACTTGTCACGAGAGGATGCGGCTGACCCTGGCCATCCACTGCTTCTCAATCGACGTCGACTGGATTCCAGGTAACTGCGCCCTCCTTCCCCCGATCCAGCGCGTCAAGTTTGGCCATGTCCGTCAGTTCGATGTTCCAGTCGAATACTTGGTTGTTGGATATGATACGATGGGGCTGCGAGGATTTGGGTAAAGGCACAAATCTAGGTAGAGTCAGGTAAAAAGATAAGCCAATGCAAACCGTGTCACACTCACCCTCGTTGCAAAGACCACCTGATAAGAATTTGAGCAGCATCTTTGGAGTACTGTGACACATTAACATTACGGCGCAAGTAGATACAGTATATAATCACCTTTGCGGCAAGTTCTTGGATGACTGTGTTGTCCAGAGCACCACGCACAAGCGGGGAGTATGCCTGAACAATAATCTTGTTCTTGCGACAATATTCAACAATGGGTTTTTGCTGGCAGAATGGATGTAACTGATAATGGTTTCAGCTTCCTTATTGTGGTCGTATGAGCTGATCGTAGAGATGCTCACCTCGATTTGGTTCACAACAGGCATCTCTAGACCAGCCTCGCGAATCTCTTCTATGTGCTTTGCTCCGCTATGTGACTGTCAGCTGGGAAAGTACCTATGAGTGATCTTACCTACTAATTGGAGACACCGACAGATCTGATTAGCCCGTCCGCCTTGGCGTCCAAAAGAGCCTTGTAGGCGGCAAGGCGTGCATCCTTGCCTCCCAGGGCACTGTGGGTGAGGTATAAATCATAATACGCTAGTACCCGTCTTGTCAGCTATACAAATAAAAAGGAACAAGACTTGCATGATCCAAGGTTCGCAACCGAGTCTTTCACAGCAGCCATCGTGCGATCGTAGGTAAAATCACTGTGGAAGACCTTGGAGGCTGCGAAGGGGGTCAGATAGGTGAAGAGTCAGTTGCCAGGAGCTCTCAGCCGCACGAGATGACCTCACTGATAAAGATGTTTTTGCGCTTAACACCACTTTGCCCGACCCCAACACCGACCTGAACTTCATTCTCATAGAACCGCGCCGAGTCAATCATTCTAATGATCCAACTGAACTTTTGAATCTGAGAGTGATGTACAATACGCACCGGTAACCATTTTTAAGGGCAACTTTACAAGCGTCCGCGCATTCCTCGTTCAGGTAGACACCAAGCCCAAGAGTGGGCATCTTGTAGCCTAGACCATTTCTGTTGATCACCGCGCTATGTGCACCCAAGATTGCAGAAACTCACCACTGGAGAGTGTGACGTCCGTTTCAACCATGATCTAGAGCTGAAGGATAAAGACGGGGAAACGGCCAACTATTTATGTTAATCCGAAACGTACAGCGCACTCGAGAGCTGACGAATATTATACGCACGGCTGACATCGAACCCCTACTGGGTAAAATCAAGCAAACGGGCATCAACGTGGGACTTGCAGAAATCGTTTTCAAGAGTCGACACTCTCGCTTACAGCCCAAGGCATGGTTTTGCCCCCAATTGATCGCCACGACCCTGGTTGAGGCGCTACTTCTGGGATAGAAGCTAGCGGTCAGTACTTAGTGTTGGCGCCCCAAAGCGGTTACATTCCTCGGGCTTGATACATTGGAGACAGTGGGAAAGAATCTCACCCATATGCACGTCGTAATCCCACGTCGCTTTCTGTGAACGCCAATTTCAGTCCCGCGGCCCGGGGGGGTATGGCAGTAGCCCAGCCTCTCCCTCTTTCCCTTCTCATAGAACCTCTGGATTGGAAGTTGAAGACGGTAGATATTATGCAACGTCGATCTTGAGACTTGGGCCAAAGTATGTTCGATTGCTTCTTGTTTGCCCTCCTGTAACTACAAACCCTTTTGCAATCTCGACACCATCCTTCGTGCAACACTGCCCTTCCGTCGTGGACCAGATTTGAATCGAAATTTAACACATTTCGCATCACTAAATTGCCAGACGTTGCACAAGATGTGTCATGCTTCCCGCTGGAGATAATCAGATTCAGCTGGATGCACATCGAGACTCATAGACCATACCGGACGTTCTCTAACTTATCGCCAGGTGCGCGAAACTATAAGCATGGTTCATGTTCGTAGTCGCTCATCTCGGACGGTGATTCTCCCAAGGGTACTATCCTCGAGTAAATGAATCGCCGCCAAAACGACTTGTGGTTTGTGTCGCAATTCGTGACGGAAGACAAGGCTAAATTTATTTATCTTGGCGTCCACCTAATTAATGAGAGTACCGAACCCACACTGAGTCAATTGATTGCACTCCCTGCCTCCCACGACTGAAACAACAGGGACACTCACCAGATGGCAGAAACCGCTGATGTGTCGACTTCACCTAAACTGAGCCCAATTGTCTCCGGATCAGCTACTTGCATTAAAAATTGTCGTTGGAAATTTGAAGTCAGGGGGAAATGACTCGGGCTGAGCGCCTGGCAGCGAGATTTGTTGGACACTGCCAGCAGCGCGACAAAATTCCTATACATCATGATTCACTTGCAATTGATAGTGTTGATGTAGTTTCTGAAATCCACTAGTCTTCATGAATGGCGTCAATATCGGTCAACTGCCAGTGGTAGTCTAAGGAAAGAGAACAAATATTCAAGCCACCTATGCAAGGAACTTCAACAAAAGAGCCCGAAGGCCCGGGCCTTGTGAAGCTTACATGAGCATGCATGCTGTGATTTAGCTTTTTAAGACATACACAAGCTGTACATAGGGTCTTACATTGCGACATATATGCTTCGGGCAGCATATATATTCACATATATGGTTCAGGCTCTTTTGTTACTCCGGGCCCCGAAGCCATCGCAAAGCCGCAAGCTTTCTCTTGATGAAAGAGATCGTTTCGGGTATGTCCGGGCTCTTCCAACATTCAACATTGTATGTTACAATGGAAGAGTTGAAAGTACATGAGGCGCGCAGGATGGTACGCCATGACATTATTGTTGATCCATACTAAGAAAATCGCTTTCTTAGATGCAAGGCAACCAGAGAACATTTTCCCCGCACCACTCATCAGAATCAACAACATCCGAGCGCATCTTAAAGTTAAATAAACCCAACGCACTCATTGGAGAAGGCTCAACTGTCACTTGAAACTGCATGACAGAGTATAAGAATAATCTCCCTGTAGTGTGCTTCCATTTGTTCAGTCGTGAAGCGGGTGAGCGCTTGACGCATGCGTCATGTTCGTGAGTACGAATTGCATACTACATTAATTTACTGACAGCCCCCGAAGCATCGCCTTGACAATGATTCTGCCAAGACGAGAGTACCGAATAATAGTATCCCAGCATTGCCGCATTATTGTGCCGCTTCAAGCTGCCTATTCTTTGTCTCCAACATCGCCAACAACCCTCACAAGCTAGCGTTTTGGCCAAAATGCTTCGAGGTCTCACTCCCACCATTGCGACCATTGTGCTGGTGTTTTTAATCGACTTCACGGCCGCAGGAAACACCACTTGTGCAGGGAATATGACACAATGGTACACAGATGCTGTAGGAGAAACAGCATGTGAGATTCGGAGTCCTCTTTTCTTTTTTTTCCTGACCGTCCTGAGTTGAATAGGTGTAACATATCAAAGACTGAGACAGATATGCAACCCTAGTTGTATGTTGTATTTTGCTCTGTGTTCATCAAAACGAAATAAAATATGAAGCGATCGACCTAAAGATCAAGTCCCAAACTTTCGACCGAATACTCCAGGCGATCAATGTGACGATCAATTACGTGCGTCTCAATCAGGTCCCTCTTGCGTCAGGCTTACATTCGTGGATAGAGAGTTGCTGCTGTAACTCCATATCGTGGGCGCTAAGTATGTTGTGTATGAAGTATGTTTTCTTGACTGGGTGCTGAAAGCACTGCGCTAACTTACAACCTAGCTGTCAATGGGATGTAGATGGCGGGTCGGCTTCGGGCATTGACGCAGGTAATGGTTCAGTGGTGTCCATGAGATTACTAGAACTAGAATTTTCTAGGCATTGGTGCATACGGGTTATATCGTTCTCCATCTGGACCGTTTTGTAGTCCAGGAACGAATCAATCGTAAGCATCGTGGTGCTGAAGTTCCGCCTGCTAGTTGTTTAAGTGGTTTCTTGTCCAGACTTCCTAGTGACATACAGGCGGCAGTTTGCAACGAAGACATCAAAATCGCCAATTTCTTATACGACCTCTTCTGGAGTGACGGCCCATGGTGAGTGTCCCGCTCATTGAGCGTGATGAAAATGTTGATGACGTATACACAGGTTCTAGTGCGTGAAATCAGATATTCGTTTTTCATCGAGCATTAAAGTACACACCGAAGTGTATACACCATGAATACCGCTTCCAAGGACGAAGCGGCGACAAACAACAACATGTATACCCACTGCAACAGCACGACAAGCTCAACCTTGAGCTCAAGCGCTAGTTACAGTACAAGCACTACCTCAGCGGCCCCATCCCAAACATCAACCGCTGCGCTTGTAGATTCCGCAGAAAGTTCTAAGGTCCCCACAATTGTAGGTGCTGTAGTCGGCAGCATAGTCGCGCTAGTCGTGGCTGTCATAGTAGCACGATCACGCTGGCGTAAGCACCGACGAAGGCTTGTCCGCGTTCCATTGGATACCTATAGCCTACATGCACCCGCGATGGCAGTGACGTCGCCATATACACTTACTGAACCCAGTGAGTCTGATTACATTTCCTGTTAATGGTAAGAATGCTAATGTTCAAACAATGCAGATGCAGACACGGCACCAGGGAACCCGACGTCGTACGGGTTCAAATATTCACGCAATCGGGGTCATCTACCAACATCAAGCAATCTCTCCTCGACATCTCCCTCCACTACTGCACTAGCCACGACTGCTGGTGAAAGCGGCCAGAGCTCATTGAACCTTCTTAGAAATGCAAACTCTTCCGTCAGCGCGTCTAGGCACGAGGACGCAGGGGTTGTCTCAACTCTTATGCGCTCAGGGTCTGGAAGATTGCCTCCAGCGTACGACCCGAGCTGGGAACTTCGCTCCGGCGAATCCTCGCGGCTGAATCCCGATTCAGAATACCAATCACGGGAGTCTCCCTTACAGGTCTCAGCGGACAACCAGCCTAGCCTCCGGCGCACCAAGCGATGATGCGATATCACACTTCTTTACCTACTGTTTGATGAACAATTTTATTCCGTGCTTTTCGACGCTGTCCGACTAGAATATATCATGCGTTTTGCACTCCAGTACGATTCTAGCAAAATCATATCTCATTTTGACGATCCGACATTCTTTGTACTAATAGAACAACATTTGCTATGCACGCTGAATATACCCTTTCATTACCATTTGATTCAATCTAGATATACCACACGTACTACTAATCACTGTCCCCCTGCCATACTATCTCGAGACACTGTTCTGATCGTCCTATAGGCCTTTCATCATTCGCTTTTCATATCCCGTAACTGACGACTACCTTATTCGCTTGGGTTCCAGTCATTAAAATTGATGGTCGTTGTTATCGTCTTCAAAATGTGGTCCGTGGAATTTTGGACTGAAACCTCTTGTACTTATTTATGAGATTCTCTGCCACCGCTTACACATAACCGGCTTCTCTGTTGCTTTCGTCCACCAAGGCTTTCACTGCTTGGGCGATTTCAACCGCACCCTAGCAAGAAAAAATCATATCACTGCTACCGTCAGACAATCGATTACAAGAAGATTTGCTCACGGGAGTATCGGAATGGCAGCATATGGAAACCTCAGTGACATTTGCTCCGATGTCAAGCAGCTTGCCTCCGACCGTAGAAACTTTGTGGAGCTTTAGAAGGTTTTTGACCTGCAATCAGATGAGAAAGGAGATGGATGAGAGACTGGATGCTGCGACTGCCATAAACCAAGAAAGGTATTCACTCGTTGACGCACGACTTCAATGGGTACTGGATCATGCTTCCTAGAGTCCAAGATACAGGTGAATGAAGTAGCATGTAATAACAGATGCACGAACTTCGTGATCAACAATTTCCCCTCGTCATTGTAATCAAGGTCAGCAAACCACTCTGAACTTTTCTCGTCACTCACAGTCATGCACTTGAGTACAGCAGTGACAAACCTGCAATAAACGGCACACCCAGCTCTTCTGTAGCTTGTTGATGAGCTGTTCCAGCGAGCCCCATAAAGGCTACACCTTGAGGACCGGCCGCGCTAGCTTTGAAGACCTTTGTGACACCCACAACTGCCCGTGCGAGGTCGATGGAGCGTGCTGTCTGACCATAGACAGAGCCGTGGGGTTTGATCTATGGCCATCGCAGTTACTAGACTGTAGAAATCGGTACGGGAAACGTACGTGATTCATTGGAAGGCCGTAGCGTTTTAAAAACCCGTCCAATGCACCGACCTGATAGATGAAGCAGGATTCTAGCTCGTCCTGTCAACTCGTGAATATTTTAATGCATTTAAATCGACTGAGATGTCACAGCTCACCGGCTCAATTGCCATCTCACGACGCCCAAAGCCTTGTAAATCAGGCAAGGAAGGGTGGGCGCCTACGAGAACATTGTTGGACTTGGCGAGTGCAACTGTCTTGTTCATGACTGAGAAGTCGCTGAGCAGAACTGTTAACACACGAGCAGCTAGGAATATTGATAGGTGGGACTCAACGAAGCATGGAATCCACAGGCAATATTTGCTAAATGGATTGTCTTCATAAGACCTTCGTCATCTCCCTGTTTGGTGCTCTCTTCAGACAGACGAGGTGACATTCGTGGTGAACTGATACATACCATGGTGTACAAGGAGAATCCCTTGTGTATATAGCGGTTGACGCGATGGACGGCTTGCGCACTTGCAATGATATCACTTACCTCCCCCATGTCGCAGTTTACGGTCGCTTTCAACGGTTTTACTCATGGTATATCTTAGTGTAGTATCCGTCTGCAAAATCGGCCGTGATGAAGGCAGAATGAAAAGGACACATTGTCGATCTGATGATAAGCTACCGCGTGTCAGTTCAAGTACCACAGTAGTTGACAGCAGATGACTCTTATGGTCCGGACAAGACAACCTCGGCCCACGCTGTTGATTCATCAGACAGAGTTAGTTCTCATTTGTATTCATTTCATCACACGTGATGAAATACCAGCACATGCGAGCTTTTTCATAGGTAGATGTCCAAAATACAAGCATCACATCAGCGCTGTGAGAACGTCCGGAACGATGAACAATATTAATGCATAATGTTACACCTTATTCACTTAGCTGCCAGTACTCGCCTGGACGCTATTTTCTTGCGCGGAACCCCCGTTAGACTTCTGGGCGTTATTCCTGTTGTCGCGCGATGCAGTCTGAACGTTTTGGTCAAGCAGGGTTGATCTATACGACTACATGGTGAGCATAACGAGAATACTATCACGAAACAAAGCTACCTTCACGGGGCCTGAGTGCGTGGCGGCGTATTCTGGTCACCCAAGAGATGATACGCAGGCGGAAGCCTATCTGCAGTGCAATCATCGGGAGGGATCAAAGTGCCAGCATCATCTTCTCGGCTGTAAAGTGCTGCTCCGACACACTGTCATTCATAAGATATGACGCGCCAGTGGATGTGTTTAAGGATTGGCCCCGCTCAGGGCTCAAGGAATGCGTCATCGGGAGTAGACCTCTATACCCATGAGATCGTCGAACGGGACTGAGACTGCTATATCTCTGAGTGGTACTAGGGAATGTTGTGAGTCCGTGAGTGCACAAATTAAAAGTGTAAGTACCTGGTTCGGTATCCGTGGAGGACGCTCCATGACAAGCTGGTTGTCAGGGAATTGACCAAGAAACGAGGATGGCGTATCCTGGATCATGCGAGGCTTCTTGTGTCGCCTGTAAGAAAACTCCACCGAGCACTGCGATTATGGCAAACGCGGCGCCACCCACTGCACCACCGATGATGGCTCCCTGCGCACTGGATGAAGTAGAATTTGCAGAGCTAGACGGGACTGCAGAGGCAGCACCGATGCCAGCGAGAGTTGTAGTAGGGACCGATGTCGATGTAGGAAGGGATGCTGAAGGTGAGACTTGGTTCGGGCAAACCGTGAAAGTGTTGTTGTGTTTGCTACTGTTGTTCTTGTGCATATTCCACTGTCCATCGACTGGGTCATCGTGAGAATGAGCTACTGCACCCTTTGATCTTTGACTCACTAGACCTGGCTCAGGGTAAGCCAAGTACTGGCAGGCATGTATTTCAAGTTGAAACTTACCAGGATCCATCACCCAATAGGATCTATTGTACAGAAATTATCGTT